CCTGCACCTTCACCCCTATAACCCTGTGGTGACGTATGATGTCCCTACACCTCCACCTTGTGTGCCCTGTGGTGACGTCTGCTGCTCTGCACCTCCTCCCCCTGTGACTCTGTGGTGACTTGTGCTGCCATGCACCTCTACCTGTGACCCTGTGGTGACGTGTCCTGCCTGCAACTCCATCCATTGTGACCCTATGGTGACGTGTCCTGCCTGCACCTCCACCCCTTTGTGACCCTGTGGTGACGTGTGCTGCGCTGCACCTCTACCCCTTGTAACCTGTGGTGACGTCTGCTGCCCTGCATCTCCACCCCTGTGACCCTGTGGTGATGTGTCCCCCTGCACCTCCATCCTTGTGACCTGAGGTGGCGTGTCCTGCCCTGCACCTCCACTTGTGACCCTGTGGTGACGTGTGCTGCGCTGCACCTCACCTTGTGACCCTGTGGTGACGTCTGCTGACCTCCACCTCTACCCCTTGTGACCCTGTGGTGACGTCTGCTGCCCTTCACTTTCATCCTTATGACCATGTGGTGACGTGTGCTGCCCTGCACCTCTACCCCTTGGACCCTGTGGTGACGTGCGCTGCCCTGCTCCTCCACCCCTTGTGACCCTGTGGTGGCGACTGCTGCCCTACCTCCACCTTGTGACCCTGTGGTGACGTGCGCTGCTCACCCTTGTGAACCTGTGGTGACGTGTGCTGCGCTCACCTCTACCCCTGCCCTGTGGTGACGTCTGCTGACCTCCACCTCTACCTTGTGACTGTGGTGACGCCTGCACCTCCACCTTGTGACCCTGGTGACGTGCGCTGCCCTCCATCTCTACCCCTTGCTGACCCTGTGGTGACGTGTCCTGCCCTGCACCTCCATCCCTTGTGACCCTGGTGACGTGTCTGCCCTGCACCTCCACCCTTTAGTGACCCTGTGGTGACGTGTGCTGTGCTGCACCTCTACCCCTGCAACCCTGTGGTGACGTCTGCTGACCTGCACCTCTACCCCTTGTGACCCTGTGGTGACGTCTGCTGCCCTGCACTTTCACCCTTGTGACCCTGTGGTGACGTGTGCTGCCCTGCACCTCCTTAGTGACCCTGTGGTGACGTGTGCTGCCCTGCTCCTCCACCCCTTGTGACCCTGTGTGGTGACTGCTGCCCTGCACCTCCACCTTGGCCAGACCTGTGGTGACGTCTGCCCTGCACCTCCACGCTTGTGAGCCTGTGGTGACGTGTGCTGCCCTGCTCCTCCACCCCGTGACCATGTGGTGACGTCTGCTGCCCTGCACCTCTACCCCTTGTGAACCTGTTGTGACGTATGAGCCTGCATCTCTACCCGTGACCTGGCGTCTGCTGCCCTGCACCTCACCTGCTGACCCTTGGTGACGTCTGCTTCCTACCTCTACCCATTGTGACCCTGTGGTGACGTCTGCTGCCTGCACCTCTACCCCCTTGTGACCCTGTGGGACGTCTGCTGCCCTGCTCCTCTACCTTGTGGCCCTGTGGTGACGTCTGCTGCCCTGCACCTCTACTGTGAACCTGTGAGGTGTGCTGCCCACCTCACGCGCCTGTGGTGACGTGTGCTACCCAGCACCCTCCACCCCTTGTGACCCTGTGGTGACGTGTGCTGCCTGCACCTCCATCCCTTGTGACCCTGTGGTGACGTCTGCTTCTACACCTCCCACCCCTTGTGAACGTGTGGTAACGTCTGCTGCCCTGCACCTGCCCTTGTGACCTGTGGTGGCGTCTGCTGCCTGCACCCTCCACCCCTTGTTACCCTGTGGTGACATCTGCTGCCCTGTACCTCTACCCCTTGTTCACCTGGTGACATCTGCTGCCCACCTCTACCCCTTGTTCACCTTTGGTGACGTCTGCTGCCCTGAATCTCTACCCTTGTGACCCTATGGTGACGCCTGCTGCCCTGCACCTCTACCATTTGTGAACCTGTGGTGACGTCTGCTGCCCTGCACTCCCCTGTGACCCTGTGGTAACGTGTGCTGCCTGCACCTCCACCCCTTGTAACACTGTGGTGACGTCTGCTGTCCTGCACACCTCTTGAAACCCTGTGGTGACGTGTGCTGCCCTCCACCTTGTGACCGTGTGGTGACGTCTGCTAGCCTGCATCTCTACCCCTTGTGAACCTGTGGTGACGTCTGCTGCCCTGCACCTGTACCCTTGTGCCCTGTTGTGGCGTCTGCACTCTCCACCCCTTGTTACCCTGTGGTGACGTCTGCTGCCCTGCACCTCTACCTTGTGAACCTGTGGTGACGTCTGCTGCCTCACCCTTGGACCCTGTGGTACGTCTGCTGCCCTGAATCTCCCTTGACCCGATGGTCACTGCCTACTCTCCCCCTTGAACCTGTGGTGACGTCTGCTGCCCTGCACCTCTACCCCTGTGACCCTGTGGTGACGTGTGCTGCCCTGCACCTTCACCCCTTGACCCTGTTGTGACGTTTGGTGCTCTCTCCACCAGGCCTGTGGTAACGTGTGCTGCCCTGCCTCCACCCTTAGCCCCTGTGGTGACGTGTGCTGCCCTGCACCTCCCAGGTGACCCTGTGGTTACGTGTGCTGCCCTACCTCCATCCTTGTGACCCTGTGGTGACGTCTGCTAGCCTGCACCTCTACCCCTTGTGAACCTGTGTGGTGACGTCTGCTGCCCTGATCTCTACCCTTGTGACCCGATGGTGACGTCTGCTGCCCTGCACCCTCTACCCCTTGTGAACCTGTGGTGACGTCTGCTGCCCTGCACCTCTACCCCTGTGACCTTGTGGTGACGTGTGCTGCCCTGCACCTCCCCCTTGTGACCCTGTGGTGACGTGTGCTGCCCTGCACCTCCACCCCTGTGACCCTGTGGTGACGTCTGCTAGCCTGCACCTCTACCCCTTGTGAGACCTGTGGTGACGTATGCTGCCTGAATCTCTACCCTTGTGGCCAGCTGTGCGTCTGCTGCCCTGCACCTCACTTAGCAACACTGTGGCGTCTGCTGCCCTGCACCTCCACCCCTTCGCAACCTGTGGTGACGTGTGCTGCCTGCACCTCCCCCCTTGTGACCCTGTGGTGACGTGTGCTGCCCTGCACCTCTACCCCTTTGAACCTGTGGTGACGTCTGCTGCCCTGCACCTCCACCCTTGTGACCCTGTGGTGACGTGTGTTGCCTGCACCTCCACCCCTTGAGTGACCCCTGTGGTGACGTCTGCTAGCCTGCACCTCTACCCCTTGTGAACCTGTGGGTGACGTCTGCTGCCCTGCCTGTACCCTTGTGACCCTGTGGTGGCGTCTCCTGCACCTCCACCCTTGTTGCCTGTGGTGACGTCTGCTGCCCTGCACCTCTACCCCTCATGGCCTGTGTGTGGGCGTCTGCTGCCCTGCACCCCACCCCTTGACCCTGTGTGTGACGTCTGCCCTGAATCTCTACCCTTGTGACCCGATGGTGACGTCTGCTGCCTGCCTCTACCCTTGTGAACCTGTGAGCGTCTGCTGCCTGCACCTCTACCCCTGTGACCCTGTGGTGACGTGTGCTGCCCTGCACCTTCACCCCTTGTGACCTGTTGTGACGTTTGGTGCCCTGCACCTCTACCCCTTGTGACCCTGTGGTAACGTGTGCTGCCCTGCACCTCCACCTTGTAACACTGTGGTGACGTCTGCTGCCCTGCACCTCCACCCATTGTGACCCTGTGGTTACGTGTGCTGCCCTGCCTCACCCTTGTGACCCTGTGGTGTGTCTGCCTGGTCTACCTCTGCCCCTTGTGAGCCTGTGGTGCGTCTGCTGCCCTGAATCTCTACCCTTGGCGGCCGTTGGTGTGTGCTGCCTGCACCTCTACCCCTTGTGAACCTGTGGTGACGTCTGCTGCCCTGCCTCTACCCTTGTGACCTTGTGGTGACGTGTGCTGCCTGCACCTCCCCCCTTGTGACCCTGTGGTGACGTGTGCTGCCCTGCACTCCACCCCTGTGACCCAGTGGTGACGTCCGCTAGCCTGCACCTCTGCCCAGCCAGACCTGTGGTGACGTGTGCTGCCTGAATCTCTACCTGCTTGTGAGCTGTTGGTGACGTCTGCTGCCCTGCACCTCCACCTTGTAACACTGTGGTGGCGTCCTGCCCTGCTCCTCCACCTTGTAACCTGTGGTGTGTGTGCTGCCCTGCCTCCCCCCTTGGAGCCCTGTGGTGACGTGTGCCCTTCACCTCTACCCCTTGTGAACCTGTGGTGACGCCCTTGCTCCTCCACCTTGTGACCTGTGTTGACGTCTGCCTTAATGCTCTACCCTTGTGGCCGATGGGCGTCTGCTGCCCTGCACCTCTGCCGCACCAGCTGGGCTGACGTCTGCTGCCCTGAATCTCTTCCCTTATGACTCCTGTGTGACGTCTGGTGTCCTGCACTCCTCCACCTTGGGACCTGTGGTGACATCTGCTGCCCTGCACCTCTGCCCCTTGTGAACCTGTGGAGACGTCTGCTGCCCTGCACTTCTACTTCTACCCTTGTGACCCTGTGGTGATGTGTGCTGCCCTGCACCTCCACACCTTTTGACCCTGTGGTGACGTGTACTGCCCTGCATCTCTGCCCTTGTGACCCTGTGGTGACGTCTGCTGCCCTGCATCTCTACCCCTTGTGAACCTGTGGTGACGTCTGTTGCCCTGCTCCTCTACCCCTTGTGAAGGTGTGGTGACGTCTGGTGCCCTACACGTCTACCCTTGTGACCCTGTGGTGACATCTGCTGCCCTGCACCTCCACCCCTTGTGACCCTGTTTTGACGTCTGCTGCCCTGCATCTCTATCCTTGTGTCCCTCTTGTGACGTCTGCTGCCCTGCACCCCTACCTCTTGTGAATCTGTGGTGACGTCTGTTACCCTGCACCTGCATCTCTTGTGACCCTGTGGTGACGTGCCCTGCACCTTTACCCCTTGTGACCCTACGGTGACGTTCCCTGCACCTCCACCTCTTGTGACCCTGTGATTGTGCTGCTCCGGTCATGCCGTCAGCTACTGTGATGCCCCTAGTATTGGTGACCTTCCGCCCACTATAATGCCCGATAATGTTGCCACCCACGACGATGCCGCAGTGATAGTGCCACCCACAGGCAATTTCTGGTGATGCTGCCGCTCACAGGCATGTCTTGCCGTTAGCAGTGATGGCGGGGCTAAAGTGAAGGCCATCGATGATAGCCTTATAGTGGTTGTCATGGTCTGTTTCATGCAGAGCCTCAGTGTTGCCTACTCTTACTGGTGATAAAGCCTCCAGTGTTGCCAGTCCTTACTGGTGATGAAGCACCCAGTGTTGCCGACCCTTATTGGTGATGAAGCTCCCAGTGTTGCCTACTCTTACTGGTGATAAAGCCTCCAGTGTTGCCAGTCCTTACTGGTGATGAAGCACCCAGTGTTGCCGACCCTTATTGGTGATGAAGCCCCCATTGGTGAAAACTTTAATTCCTACTGAAGCTTGTGTTGTTATCCCTCACTCACAGTGAGTTTCAGTATTGCCAAACCTAGTCAGAGACCATTATCCACAGGTCACAGCACTATAATCGCAGCGTCACGGTCACAGCACCACAGTCACGCCCCCACGGTCACTGCACCACAGTCACGCCCCCACGGTCACTGCACCACAGACAAGCCCCCACGGTCACAGCACCACAGTCCGCCCCGGTCACTGCACCACAGTCACGCCCCCCACGGTCACTGCAACACAGTCACGCCCCCACGGTCACTGCACCACACTCATGCCCCCACGGTCACTGCTGCACCACTCACACCCACGGTCACTGCACCACAGACAAGCCCCACGGTCACTGCACCACCGCCCCCCCACGGTCACAGCACCACAGTTACGCCCCCACGGTCACAGCACCTCAGTCACGCCCCCACAGTCACTGCATCACAGTCACGCCCCCACGGTCACAGCACACACAGCCACGCCCCACGGTCACAGCACCACAGTCACGCCCCACGATCACAGCACCACAGTCACGCCCCTACGGTCACAGCACCACATTCACGCCCCCACGTCACAGCACCACAGTCACACCCCACGGTCACTGCACCGCAGTCACGCCCTCACGGTCACAGCACCACAGTCACGCCCCCACGGTCACAGAACTACAGTCACGCCCCCACGGTCACTGCACCACGGTCACGTCCCCATGGTCACAGCACCACAGTCACGCCCCCACGGTCACAGCACTATAGTCTCAGCACGAGCGTGGGAATTCTATGAAACGGAAACAGTAAATCAGAGACAAACAGGATGATCCTCACCTGGTCTGAGTCAGTAAGTATGAACTGAAGACTCTCTGTGCTTTAATAGTCTAGGTGTACCATCATACTTACAATGTCACCTATATATATATATATATATATATATATATATATATATATATATATATATATATATATATATATATATATATACATACATATAACATGAAACAAAACTCAGTGGATTAAAGATTTCAGTTTAGCAGAGAAAACATATTTCAACATTTAAAGGGGTTTCATTTGTGCAATCCTGTTAGGTAGACTAGCAGGTAGAGACTCACTGGTAGATATATTAATATATTGACCATAATTATACAACATACTGTATATATCCCAAGATTAACTTTTGGAAGGGACCATACTGTATATATAGCGGCTGGGTAAATACAACACTGAAATCTTGACCTAAGATTTGTTGGTTCCCGACAGGACATCCCCAGTGGACCCTGCTGTGAGTGGGTGCCAAATATCAACCAACAAATTAACGTAGTCTACTGGGCGTCTGGGAAGACGTTGAAGAGATCATAACATTATCAGACAGTCGCTTTTAAGATGTCATCAATATTTTATTATACAACCAAAATGGCTGCCAGTTTAACTGTGACTTAGGAGACTTTCCACATTCAAGATGATTTCAGAATAAAGTTTCACTCCAATAGTTAGTTAATGTTTTGTTTTTAGAAGTATTTTTGTTGGATTCATTGCGTCTGAGGAATACCCATATATACTGTATAAAGTTATAGATAGGGTGAAGTTAAGGTATACAACCTAAAGAGACAAATTTGGGGTAATATGACTTTATAGATAAGTTCCTAGAAATTACGTAAAGTCCAACCTCAAATACGAAAACTCTTGTATGGAAGGAAATGAATCAAACAGACCAATGCTACAGTGCAAGCGGATAGTTCCTATCCCCTTCCTGACCAGCGACTATAATCGTTATAAATGATTTCAAACTGCTGGGGCGGGGAATCTAACTTTAGCCACTAAACATAACACTTTCTAAATGCTATGAAAACTTCAATAAAAGAGACAGAAAGACATAGTGAAGGGGCTATGAATGCCAGGATGGGTGATTGGAAACTGGAGCGTATTGTGGCGAATGAACAAAAATGAAGCGAAACCAATGGAAATATGAGCTGCTGGAGGGATGATGCTGTGAAATATTTGTTTAAAAGTTTTAATACATAGGTATACATGGAGGCAGGGCACTAGAAAAAGACAATGTGTTAGTAGACAGAATATTAATTCGCATGTTCAGTAATGCTGATGAACTGTACAAACACTAACTGTAGACTGGAATATCTGACTGTTGTGGAAAAAACAAGAATTATCAGTAATGAAGCATTTAGGGCGAAAAATATTCAGAGAAGTGAAACACCAATAACCATGTCACCATCAACCATACCAACACCATGGTTATGCACATCAACCTCTCCTCCGACATTGTCCCACCTCCTTCCATTACTTTAGGTCCGAACACACTCCAGGTTGTAGATTCCACGAAGCTCCTCGGCGTCACCATAGACAACAAACTAAATTGGAAACCACACGTCAGTGAAGCTTTCAAATCCTCCAGTTTCCGTCTCCACCTCCTCCGCCGACTCAAGTCCTTCGGAGTTCCTGCACCCGAGCTCCTCAGTGTTTACACAACATTCATACTTCCCAAGCTCACCTATGCCTCCCCTACCTGGTCTTCCTCCCTAAATGCCACACAACGTAAACACCTAGAAAAAGTGCAAAAGAGGGCATGCAAGATTATTCTCTCCCTTCCTACTCCACATATCAAGAAGCGCTCAACACACTGACCCTTTCGACTCTCACTGACCATCACCACGACCTCATCTGCAAATCTGGTAAGAAGCTTCTACACCATCCTCGACACCGGCTCCTACTACCACCTGAGATCCCTAGCCCGAGAATTGCTGTTCGACACCAAAACCGCATCCAGCCCATACGTGCACGAACTGATCGCTATGAGAACAGCCCAGTCCCAACCATTGTAAAAATTATCAATAACTTGTAATAAACCAGTGTATTCACTCCCAGTAAATACTACTTCTTGCACTGTCACTATGTTGAAATGCACTGTAGTTTGAGCTTTTCCCCATCTAGTTATTATATATCTTATTTGTATCACTTATGTTACTTGTATATTATTTGTAATTCGTAACCCATTCCCCAAATATGTAACTGTATATTTTCAGCCTTCTGGCTGCCAAGCTCTTTCAATAAACCGTTAATTATTATTATTATTACACACACACACACACACACACACACATATATATATATATATATATATATATATATATATATATATATATATATATATATATATATGCTGATAACTACAAGGAAAGAAGAAAACATGAAGTTCCCAAGCGCTTTCGTGTAATTTACATCTTCATGGGTGAGTACTGGTACAGTATATGGTTATCAGCATTTACAGTACCTGGATCACGTGCACCCAGAGTGATTTGCTTGCACATATATATATATATATATATATATATATATATATATATATATATATATATATATATATATATATATATATATATATATATATATATATATATATAAATATATATATTTATATATTTATATATATATATGTGTGTAATATTCAGAAATTTCAGTGTGATTTCAAACGCCGCGCCATGGGTGATACTGAGTTTTCAAGGTCGACTGAGGAAGAGAGCGCTCCTGCCCATAGTGAGAGGTTGTGGAACTAGGCCTATACGATGTTGAATGTAGCTTGCCGAATTAATAATGATGCGATTCATGAAGTTAAGGGACTATTATTAAATTTGAAATTATTATAGATCGTTTATCAGTCTGAATAATGTTGCCGGTGTCCCAAGAAAGTTATTAGTTAGGCGGAAAATATGTCACGTAGGCCTAAGCTAACGCCTTGGAAGCTGGCTGGTTCTCAGTCACGGGAAAGCTATCAGACAGACAGGACGTCCCTGCGCGTCCGTCCACAAAAACGGTCACATGGTCTAGTCACCTGTGTTGTGCTATTGCAGTATAACAAGTAAGTCTCATTCTATCTCAGACAGGGGTTAGATAGGGCGGTGATAAAATTAACAAGAACTAACTGTATGTATATTATGTATTCTCCGTTGTGGGTCGTTTGACCTGTGCCCGGGTGGGCTAATTCCCATAAAAAAAAGAAAAAAAAATTATATACACTATTTATTCAGCCTAGCTAGCAGCGTGTGGCAATGTATTTACCATGTCCCACATGCTTAATTAATGTGCCTGGCGAAATATGGAAGCTGCTAATGTATCACTTACCACGAAACCTACGAAAACTCTACAGGTGTTTGTGTTCGCTCCTGTAGATAGAACTTGATACCCAGAACACATGCACTAACAGTGAGTCCATTTCAAGGTTTCCGTCAGACCCCACTTGACTGTGAGAGATTGACTGCGGGAGATTGGCTGCCGTTTGAGACTGCCGTTGGTGATTGATGATTAGCGATTGTCGCAGTTCGAACGATCAGTGCAGGCTTGTCACTGGTCAGCGGGTA